AAGCATGCTCCAAATGAGAATGAAAAATGGCTTGGTACGTAAGTATGACAGATGGTTCGATTCAAAGTTCGGCCAATACATCCACACATGCACAGTGGCGCTGCATAACAATCCGATTCTTGGGATTCCGGGCGCGCCCGTAACGGCGGCCTTGCACCACCCCCGCCACCCCCAGTGCCACCTCCCCCGCCACCACCACCACCACCACCACCACCACCACCACCACCACCACCACCACCACCACCACCACCACCACCACCACCACCACCACCACCACCAGAGGTACGTTCCACAGCATCCCTGCAAACTCGAAACCTTGAGGCTTACATGGAGTCCACGTGTTTTGCGCAAATGCCTGCAGGAGTTGGGAAGGGCAGCTCGAAGGGCAGCTCGCAGAAGGGAAAGCAGTGGAAGCCGACAGGTGAAGTTGCCAGCTGTGTAAATCAATTGAACTCTCCCGAAACTCGACTTCTACTCTTCGCAGGTCGGACATCTGGAGAACCAGGAGACTTGGGCGGTAGAGCCGACAGAGTGGCTCGGGCTGCGCGGCCGCCGCCGGCAACTGCCGTGAAAACGTCTGGGGCTCTGAAAAATGCTGTTCGCACTGTCAGTGTTTTGCGGCTGCTCTCACCTTCGGGCCCGAGGTACGACGATCGCGGTATCCCCAACTTCCGATCGCGCCATGAAGACATGAAAGCCGAATGGGCAGGGAAGTGGGGCGACGGAGAGGATTGGGGTGAATGGGGCGAGTGGGATGAGTGGGATGAGGACGGAGACTGGGGCTGGGATGAAGGTTGGGATGACGGTTGGGGAGGCGGATATGGATGGTGATGCCAGTGATGGTGATACCAGTGATGGTGGCACCACTGGCTCTACGCAGTCGGGAACGAGTTGTTCTGGTCAGACGAGCTCCGGAAACTGCGGTAGACTGCACGTTGGCAAGAAGTCTTCAAGTGGAGCTGAGATGCACCGTGGGCCAGCTGCAAAGTCATTCGACATTCAGCTCCCGAAGGAGCCAGCAGCGAACTGTACATAGAAATTCTGCACACTCTTCTTGCTCTCTCAGCTATTGGACCTCCGAATTGCGCTGCAGCAAGAAAAGAGAGCTGATGAGCTGTTGCCGAACTTCGACCCGGTTTCGCAGCCTTGCAATGCCTTGCGTCTATGTTATACAGCTGTGACCAAGATCTCCTACGGCTTGTTCGAGCGAAAGAAACTTGATCCTCGGCTACGAGCACAAAAAACAGATCTTTGTCGTTTCTTGATGTCCAGTCTCTTACCAGTGGACAGCTGAGGAAGAGCAAATTTTCAGACCCATCGAGAAGCTGTGGACGGCCGCTGTCCAAGCTGCTTGACCAAATTCGGCCGAAGTAGTCTGTCCTTTTGAAGGGACCCGGCACCCACATCGGCATGCTCTCAGACTACCATCCTCCACTCGAGCGAGGCCTGCGAGCCTGTTAAAAGATGTGCCTGCAGCTGGATGGCAATGGACAAGTAGGCACCGTGGTCGGCATCGACGTGGACATGGACGACGGTCGGCCGCCAAGTGTAGACGGAAAGCAAACACCACTGTAAGTTGACGGCACCGCTTTGCGTCCAAGGCTCTCTGGCTTTCTGGGCCAATGGTGAGTTCCTTGGTATCGTCAAAGACAACGAGGCAGAGTTGTTTGGCCTTCTCCTGCCACTCATCTCACATGCTGCCTCTCTTGCTTTCCAAAGCTCGTTCACAGGAGCGACCCAGACCCACTTGTACCCCAAAAAATGTCTCGTCATTGTCGTTACGGGTTTTTGTTGTGTGAGCTTGGTATCCCCGGTCCGCCAATTTTATGGGGATCTCCTTCCAACTTTTGAGCCGGACATTTTTTTCCACAGCTTCTTGGATCGTGAGTCTTGAGTCTATGATCTGCAGTTTTTTCGCCAGGACAAGCCCGTCAACCTCAAAGGCAAGAAGATTGCCCGCGGCTGAGACGGTCTTCAGGTCCATGCAGGTACAACGAGGCCCGAGGAGGAAGCAAAGGCTTAGCAAAGGCTGCCTTCCGCTCAGGTGCCAGCCTTGAGCGTGTTTGGCAGGCTCGGGACGCCGGGTTTAAGCCTTCCCGTTCAAATCTTGTACACAGGCATGTTGCTGCTTCAGAGTTCCCTGGCAGGAACACAGGAAAGCACAAAGAGAACACCGTCATGGAGGCACCTCTCTAAGACATGCTGCCTGTGCCAACAGAAACCCTGGTAGCAGCACGATCGTTAGGTTCGGACCGGCCTGGATGCCCCGTCGCGGTTGCGCCTTCAGCACAAGACTCCTGAATCAGATCAGATGGCATTGGTTTTGGCACGGGTCATGTGGACGAGCTCCGCTATTGCGCCTGTCGCCGAGGCCTGGCAAGTGAGCGACTTCCAGAGCGCTTCCAACATCCCCATGAACACCAGCCGTCTCGCAAGCACAGACCCTCACTCATCTCATGAGCTAAACAGTCAAGCAGCCGAATAAAGCTCCCCATGCATCCGCGTGTCCTGCTCAGCAGCAAAAAAGTATCGGCAATTGTCACATCGCAACAGCCCCGCTGTCGGTTGCAGTCTTCCAGCAGATTCTGATTCCGAGTTTGCGGCGTCCAAAGCGTTCTCCCAGGTGCGTTCGCAGAGTCCCGGCTTCCACGGAGGACAGACCTGCTCCAGCCATGCAGTGTTATCACTTCGACCAGTGTGCAGGATGCCTGGGATGCCTGGGCCTGGGCTCCCCGCCCCTTCAAGCGGTTCCCGTTGCGCCGTCGCCACCAGTGACCATGCCCGCGGTGCCGACACCGGGGCCCGTCGCCTTTGCACCGGGAAGGCCGAGCCGCACCGCGTTGCCACTCCACGACTTGAGACTCTCTTGCCGCCTTGCCTCATGCTCAGTCCCCTGGCATCTCCCTTCAGAGGCAGAGGCGACTGCATCAGTACAGTAAGTTTGCGGACCGAATTGCGGCCGGCATCACGGAGCACGGAGCATGGTGCATCCTGCAGGACCTCTCTTCTCTCCCATGCTCGATGCGGGATACACACGCACTGTGGCAAGGCCACATGGCCCAGTTGCGAATCTGCTCGGCCAATATGCCAGTGCATGATGCTCTGCGATCCCTTTGCCAGTCCTTTGCAAGCCAGTGGCGCAGCAGGCCTCGCAAGAACTGAAAGCTCGTGCTGCCCTGCGACTTCCACTGCCTATCTGGACAGGAACTCCACTTTCCCCACTTGTGGCTGCATCGTATCCTCGCAGTGTCGGCGGAAGGCGGACTGGGGGAACCCGTTTCTGCTAGTTGTCGGTGATTTCGCGAGCTTGGCACCGAGTCCGATACCTTTCCGCACAAGCAGCCCCTCAGGCGGTGAGCTCGGCGTGTAAGAAAAGTTGGGGCCGGGGCCCGGGGGTGTTTTCGGAAACCTGCCAGGAGGACCCCCTCGCATGCTTACACCTACAAGCTCTTCGTCGGCAGATTTGAGCTCGACTGTGAACGACCTGAGCGACGCAGACAGATGCCCAAGCTGTCCATTCTCAGGTGCATCACCTCTGGCTGCAGATCGCAGGATCACGTACATGTGGGTTGCACAAGTGTGGGTCACAAACATGTCAGAACATGTGAGGTTCACATCTTTTTGGCCGTCCGTGCTTCCACCGTGCAAAATTGGCTAGAGTCCAGAGTCGCAGCCAGCACGGCCCACTCCTGCCCGTGTCCAGGACAGCCTCACCTTCGCAAGTACACGATGCGATTGCCTCGTGTTTTGCTCTGACGCTGGGCCGCGCTCTCCATGTCTGCTCAGGTGCGGAGGAGTCTGTCCCCGAACTTGTCGCAGCCAGCGTCTTACCTTGAGCAGCGTGCACGGGCCAAGAGTCAGGGAGTCAGAGAGTGGCTGCAGCCGGTAGCCCAGGACTCGAGTCCTGCAGCCGCCAGTGGTCGCCACGAAGGTGCCGTCTTCTGGCTGCTGGCTTCTTTTCCGGTGTCCTTTCTACGTTCGGCGTAAGTGGCCTTTGGCCTTCTCTTTGCAGGCCTCAGTCTCATGGACGGACCTCATGCAGGCAACCTGTGCCACGTGCCGCCATGCCATTCTGTTACGGAACAGGGAATCGGCATTGCTCGGCTGCAGTAGCTTGAAGGCCCCTGTGGGAACACGGTTCGTGGTCCCCAAAGGCACGCTCCACGCGCAGGCACCACGCGTGACAGGTGGGGCTCACATGGCTTCAAACCTGCGTGGAGTGCCACAGGAACCAATGGCCGGCCCGGATGACGCAGAGGCAAGTGCAAGGCAACTCATGGCCGCAATCACAAGAGGTGCTGTACAAGAAGGTTAACCGCTTATGAAGTCGATTCCACCATTGAAGGCCTTCGCCGCTGCAACCGGCCGTGACCGCATTTCGCCAGCCTCGTGATGGCGACATTTCACGGATGTAGATCGAACCCAAGTTATTTAGCTCCAGGAGTTTGCCAGTGCACACCTTTGAAGGCAGCTTTTTTTGGCCTGAAGCATGTCAGAGAGTGCCGCTCGAAGGGCCGTGAGGTCGAAACTGAACTTCGTGGGAAAAGTCTTGATGCACATAGCACATAGACATGCTTCATGCCACACTTTAGGACCATGCCGTGCAGCAGAAGCCCGACAAAGACAGAGAGGGCAGCCGCCGTGATGAAGAATTGACCCCTAGTTCGGTTTCAGCTTTTTTTGCGAAGTGGGGCCATCACTCAAGCGAGTCAGGCTTGCGGCTTTTGAAGGCTGGGGGTCCTCCAATCGGGAATGCTGCGCCTGCATGGCCCCAAAGGGCCTTGCATGCATATCTTGTTATGCAGCGCTCGGCGGTGTCAGGGCGTACAGTCGCTCCGAGGCTTGTAGATAATGTGTCAGGAATGCTCTCAAAGTGAGGGCTTGGCTTAGCTTATGTCACAGCTTGTGACTTGCAAAGCATCAATGCAGTGAGTTCTAGACCAGAGTGAAAGAAATCGCTGACAGCATAGAGCGTAGGACATAGATGTGTCCCAGCGAAGGCCAAGCAGGCGGCCGACAAAGCTGCTCCAGGCAACATTTTCAGCTCGCCCAAGCGAGATGCCAAGGCCTTTCGTCGCCTTCCGACTTCCACTCCCTTTGACCTGCACTGCGATTTCCTCTCTCCCTCGCTGCACTCAAGGGTTCTCTCTTGCTGTCAGCCAATGCAGCTGTGCTGTCCTTGCCAGAAGCTGGCGGTCAAGAAGCAGCGCGAGCTGAAGAAGCTCCTTAAGGCCCTGCGACGTCCTGTGCCATCCAATCCTTTGTCTCGAGGGGAACCTGTGGGCTGCACCCCAGGCAGACAGGAGGGAAACCGAGGAGATTGCAAGGACCGAGGGAGCTGCGCTCCCGCAGAGCTGTTGAGCATACCGGCGTTTTTTTGCAACTACGCTGCGGGCCACGAACAGGAACTTGCAGGAAGCAACGAGGGCCAAGTCTTCAACGGAGACTCAGGCCTCCGCTGCCTCCGCTCGGCGGGCCGCTATGTCCGCTTCGTCCGCTTTCGATGTCCCCCGCTTTTGTGCAGGCCAAAGAGGCCACTTCCAAGCTCGCCAAGGCTGAGGCAGGGAGACACGGAGACAGCTCCCGAACCTGTGCCTTTCCCGCTGGTTGCGTCTTTCTTGCTTGCAAGGCAGACTTGTCCGCCGAGAAGCAGTCAGAAGACGCTCTGCAGGCCACTTCCCTGCTAGAGCCATGCAGTGCTTCACAGTTGAGAGCCCTCAAAGAACATCCCCGACTTTGACGCGAGGGGGCACTGAACCAGCTGGAGCCGAAGTTGTTCTTCGGTTTGTTCTGATCTCGGCTCGGCCCTGCCTGGCCATGACGTTTTTGAAGCAAGATCCCCCAGACTCGCTGGGCGCTTGCGCTATGGATTATGGCTTAGTAAAGAGATTTGAGTTGAACCTCTGGGACCCAGCTCCTGCTAGAGACAAGACCGCGATGCTCCTACTAGCACTCCAGAGGTTCAGCACGCATTTCCTGCGACGGAAGTATCTTGGCCTGTTGGATGTGGCTGCGAAGCCAAAGACTTTGGCCCAGGCGACGAGATAATTGTGTTCGGGAGTGCCTCTGCCTTCAGCGTCCGTTCCTCTTTCGAAGATATCAAAGCGCCGCACTGCTGGCTTTGAACACTGGCACGGTGCAAACATCGGCAAGGCCTTTCCAGCATTTGTAGCTACACTGCTGCTGCATTACATGCAATCTGGGGAGGACGGAGGTGCCGCTGAGGAGAGGTTAGCTAGAGGCGCACCCCAGGCTCATTCAAATCGATTGTGATAATCAGATGTGCAGGGGCTCGAAGCCCCTTGCACCACAAGGCACCAGCTTTCAAAGATGGGATTCTCCGTGCTGGCTTCAAAAGGCTGCAAGATACAGGTGCATAATGAGGTATGCCAACGCTACTCGTAACAGTTTGGCCAGCCTTAGCGGATTCTCAGACTCCGACCGATGCCAAACCGACTTTTTTCAATCCCGGTGCTTCTGACCAGCACCGTGCGCATCGACCGGCGCTCCCACAAAAAACGTCGGCCTTCCACGGTCGTGTGTTTGCATCGCGTCATGTGATGTTTGGGCTGGCGCACGCATGCACGCATGCACTAAACATAGGTTGTGTCACCGCGAAGCATTTCGACAGCCGAATAGCCCTGCAGTTCATGCCAACCAGACTGGTGATACATAGTCATGCTCAGGCATGCGGATGAGGGTTCGCCCTTGCAGATGAGCGATGATAAATACTTTAGTGACCTGGTTCCCAACCAGCTCGACGTTTACGAGATGGCGGCCGAGCGCCTCGCCCGGCTGGAGTCCATCCGCCAGGGGCCGAGCCGCCAAGCAGAGAGCTTCGAACCAGCGGCGCCGCTTTGCTCCGTCTGCGAGGCACCGGCCTGGCTGCGCTCCCGAGCCGGCGCCACGGGGCTCCGGCTCAGGAGGTGTGGGACCATGCAGGTGGAGCAGGCGCTTGACGAGTGGTTCTTGCCTGTGCAGGCCTTGTCTACACGTGAGCGCTTGGAAGCCATACAGCGATGCAGGGCTGCACTATATCTCTGCAACACCTGACGTGGGGCGTGACGTCTGGTTTCGGATAAGCGAAGCAGACTAGTCAGACTAGTCATGTTGCGAGAGAATATGTGAGATTGCGCAAGCTTAACCTTCCGGCTGTCCAAGGGAGACTCGGCCTGCGCCCACTTTCGGCTGAGCTTTACTCCGAGAAGGCCGCTGAGCCTCGAAGTGCGGTCATGAGCACTCAGCAGGGCTGAGCAGGGTTCACAGGTGGAGGATGCCGCGGCGCGGGCTCCGTCCCTCTACGATTCCTGGGAGCTGCACCAGTCCTTGAGATCCGAAGTTGTTTCGGAGGCCTGGCTAGACCCAGGAGCCAAGATTGCTCTAGGGTAACTTGGGTTGTTTGACGTTCCGCGGCTTCTGGATGGAAGGCGGTCCGTTTGAAGGACCCAGGAGCTCTTTTGGTGTACTGTAAAGGGTATCGATCGTGATGTGAAGGGATTGGGAGTGCCATGCCGCGAAGCGACTCCGAACTCCAGATACACCTAATGGCAAACAGCGAGACAGGACAGCCTTTGGCTTTGTGCTCCTGCTGCTTAGTAATTGCATCCTTTCTGCCGCGGCATAGCAGGTCGTCGCAACGTCGGGGGTTGCCGAGGCCGCAGAGCCGAGGACTTTCAGCTCTGGCTCTCGCTTCCAAGTTCGCGTCGTCCCCCGTCCCGGCAAGGAGCCACCAGCAGGCTTCTCCCCTGTCTCCACCGCATTCGCCTCCGACTCCGCCAACTCCGCCGACTCCGCCGACTCCACCTCTGGCTCCGGACGAGAGTGAGGACTGGCTTTGGAGCTTTGGGCAGATTTCGCAGCCCTCAGAACCTTCGCGGACGTGCAGCGCAGCTCGTTCTGGAGATGTCGGCCATGTCGCATCCTGTCACCCAGGGCCGTTCAGCCCGGCGAGGGCGAGAGGCCACAGTGAGCGCCGCATGCGCGGCGAAGCGTGCAGGCGCGATTGGAGGCGAGCTGAGCCAGAATTGGAGAAGCCGACCGTTGAGGAGGAGAAGCGTGAAGCGGATCGGGAGGAGGTTGTGGAGCCGAGCAAGTTCCGGGAGCCGCCCTTCGCAGAGACTCCGACTCCGTGTGCCATGGGGGCGGAGGAAGCACAGGCGCTGCCGTCCCGGACGGCAGGCACGGCGGACAGAGCGGGCAGACCGACCTCCAGTCGAGGCACCCGGGCTCGCAGCCGCCCGACGAGCGCGTCGAGCTCGAGGCCTCCCTCCGCGCCCTCCTTTGTGCGGCCTTTCTCCGTCGAAGACACGGAGTTCTGCCTGTCGGGACGAGGCGTCGGAGGCAAGCAAGCGAGGCCGCCATCAGCCCAAGCGTTGCAGCAGGGACTCGGACCACAGCGCAGCTGCGTGGCCAGCACCTCCGGAGTCTCCAAGTCCAAGCTGCCCAGAGCAAATGGAAGATCGTCCGATAATGATCCAGGTGGCCCTCGTGATGCTCGAGGCACTTGGCTTCATTATCAGCTATAGGGTCAGAATGGGGGGACGAGATAACATCACGAGACACGTTTCGAAGTTAGCAGCGTGTCTGGCACCAAGGTGGAGCTCAAGCCACTGGGCCTCGATTGCGCTCTTGGAGGGATGGCGACCCTGTTCGAAGACGCTCTGCCCCCTCACCTGCGGGCAAAGCACCGACGCAGGAACGTCCTGAGCTTGGACCGGACGCCGAGCGGCAGAAAGCATGAGAGACATCAAGCTTTGGAGAGTTTCTCGAGAAGCATCTTTTGCAGCTTCAACTTGAAATGGCTGGCTGGGTAGAGCTTGGGCGCCGGGATGCTTCAGCTACCTGCAGTAGACTCCGGCTGCATCTCTTTCGACACAATTGCCACATAATAGATGATGTATGCTATCTTTCTTGCCCTCCGCCCTGGGTTCGCACTGCCCTCTGCACTTGGGCGAGGGTTGTGGGATCTGAGGATCTGTGGACTGCCATGGAGCTGAAGGCACGGTTGGGCTCTGAAGTGACTGGTACCGCAGATCTGTTCGGCCGCTCCCAGGTGTTTCTGCGGCGCGCCGACCTGACAGAGCTGCTCGGTCCTCTGAGACCCTCTGCTGCGACTCGCGCATGGGCACGCAGTGAAACAACCTTGTTTAGACTTGGACATGTTTAGACGCACAGGAAGGTGCACAGGAATGTCGGAATGACGAATCTGCAGAATCTGCAGCTGTACCAACGACGTATGTTTTGAGAGAGTGTTGCCCAGTCATGCTTGGCCCAGGAGAGCAATTCCCCGGCCTGAACTTGAAGTCCTTGCTGGAGATGCAGGAATCGCAGCTTAAGCAGATGGAGGCGGCACCATGGACCATGCTTGGGTTATGCTGAGAAAGATTGTGGCTCAGCCGCTACAAAGATAAACTTGTGCTTGTGATCCCAGACCGCAGTACGGTTTCGGAGGTGCGCCCGCTGGCTTTCAAGCGGCTCCTACGCAGCATCGAAGTCGAGCGGCAGCGGCGAGGGAACTTCCTGCAGCGATCTGCCTTTGCCTTTTGGAGTGAGATAAGTGGTTGAAGGGCGAGCTTACCAGCTCAAGTTGGCGTCCTGAATCTAAGACGATGCACAGGTAAGAAAGGTGCGGGGTGTGGCATTGGCGTGGATTTACGTATGGTTGTGCGAGCATTCAGCTACTTTGAGGGCTTGAGGGGAGTATGTCAGAGCTGGTTGAGCCCATTGCAATGGTGGACGGTTATGCTCAGAAGGACTCCGGGTTCTTGCTTAAAAGCGCTGAGGATGATGACGTGAGCGTGCCAATGTACTCGCCCGAAAGACCAGCACCTGTATCACTGGACGAGGGTGACGGCCAGTGGGAAAGTGAGGTTGGGGATGTCGGCGAACGAGGCCGAGAGTCTGCCTCGCAGATGGTGGCCCGTATGCTCTCCGCACCCTCTACGCCCTCCAAGCCCTCGGCACACCAGGGCCAGGGCCGCAGCAGTTGCTTTCAACGCCTTCCCGATGAATTCGTCTGGGAGCCATCGGAGCCACGGTCAGATCCGCCCGAAGAGCACCCGGTGACCCAAGACGCGGCACGGCTGCAGAATCGGTGAAGTCTTTCATCTCCAAGTAGGGCAGCAGTGTTTGAGGATCGGACCGTGGGATGTAGGAACATCCTTTGCTTCGTGTCCCTGGTTAAGTACTCCTGTCACTAAATTTGATTTTGTAGCCCTCCATCGAGCAGCTTCCCGACTCGTTGCGTGGCTTGTTCGTAACGCTGTCCGTAACGCAAGTAAAGCAAAGCCTGTGTGCCTCCAAGTCTGCGAGGTCGCATGGGGTAGCTCGTGCTCCTCTGGCTTCCCAAAAGCTGCGGGGTCGCCCAGTGCCGACGGTGATATCGCACCTTCCACAGAACCTTGGCGTTAAGAAGAGTGGAGGCTATGTTTAGTTCTTTCTGAGCGAATCCAGTTTGTAGATGTCATGAGATGTCTGAGGTGGAAAGGTGTTGTGCACATGCAGTCATGGAGCCTGCAGGGCCATTTCCATCCCGTAGTAGCTCAAGCACAGCCGCAGTGGAAAATGCCAGCGAGCGAAGTGAGAAGGCATTGGGGTCGACAGAGTCCTTTCATGCGGCAGTCCTGAATGCCGTTATGAAGTCTTGCTTCCATCCTGACAACTACGAAGAACGCCCCCAATGCCCTGATCCACCTGTGGCTGCCGTGGAGCCTACCGTGGCGCCTGCCTTGGCGGTGGCCCCGAGTGTGCTGGCAGTGGAGCAAGAGTGCAGGACCAGGCCGCAGACAAGGCGGGCCCGGATCCGTGAGCTGCTCAAGCGACTTGAGCTGGCCCAGTCTCCGTGCCTAGCCGATCGCCTGCGAGTGGATGCGCGGCAGAAGCAGGCCAAAGAGAGACATCTCCGCCAATCCCAGGCCTCCAGCGGAGCAGGTCCGGCCTCGTCGCCTGCTTTGTCTTTGAGGAGATCTCGATCTTTTATGGAGCTACTTCATGAGTCAGATCCTCACTACTCGAGCGGTCGCAGCTGCCCAGTAGACCCGAGTGTGCTGGAAGACGTGGTGTCGCGACTTCCTGCAAAGCCCGTGATGTCTGCACCACTCGAACTCGAGCCCTGCACGATCTGCTTAGAGGTGCCCACTTCAGGCCCGGGACCGAGGGGCTGTGCTCATAAATGACAGCATTTCCCTTAAAGCTCGCCAGGTGAGATCCTCACCATGCTGCCCTGCTGCCATTGGTATCACACAGAGTGCATCAAGGTGGCCTGCCTTCGCTGTTTGATACTGCGCTTCTCGCGGGTACGCACACGGTGCTCAGACTCCGCTGTATCTCAGGAATGGCTGCTGCATTCGCGGTTGTGCCCCTTGTGCAAGGCACCTGTACTGCCGGAGGAACTCGGAATGTAATCCACCCATCTGTTCTTTCATGCTTCCGCATGTGTTCATATTCTGCGATGGAGGTCCCAAATATGGGGAGTCTCTGTTGCTTGATAATGCCTTCTGGAGCGGAGCTCTGTGCGCAGCGAAGGGAAGAACTTCTAGCGCTATCAAAAGCCCTTACATATTCTGGCCAGACTTCAGGGTCTTGATACGACATGTGCTACCTCACAGATGCTCGCCAGTGATGTCTCCTCTGTGCATGAATCTGGCAATCTTCTTGACATGTGACCGCATGGGCAATCTTCAAACGTAGCGGCTCTGAATTGCTTGGAGTCGATGTTTCGCACAGGGGCTGGGACGACAATATTGCCTGTTTGCGAATGCGCAACGCGAGAAGAAAACCTTGGCATTAATGGGGCTTTGCTTCGTCTACTTCCCAATCAGTGCAGAGCTTCGACGCCTTGGCTGGACGTGCAGTTTCGTAGCATCAATCCAGGGTTGTGCCGGGCTTGGCTGCCAGGGTTCATCAGCATACTGCAACATGCTGAAGTCAGTTTGAGTACTCTGGCTGCTAGCCTTCGCCATGAGTGAGCCTGGGACGTCCGTGGAATGCTTTATACCCTGTTGCCCCAGGGGATCGAAGCTGACGTGCTGCTTGCTAGGTCGCCGGAGTACTCCCATGGCGCGTCTGCCTGGCTCGAAGTTCCAGCATGAGAATCTTCTGAGCTCCCAATCTTACAAGCTCCGTCGTAAAGTCGGCCCATGACTACCAGCCAAGCCTATTCCTCTTGGCGCAAATGGGCTGAAGCTGATGCGCTGTTTTCAGGCCTGCCATGCGTTTTGCCCGTGGCCGACCTCGCTGGCGAGCTCTCGAAGCTCACCTAAGGTCACGTTTCAGGCCAGATGCGGAGGAAGCCCGGGGAGAGGATTGTAAGACGAGCCGTGCAGGACCAGGCCGATGTTCGAGCTGAGCCCGAGAAGGAGCCAGATGAGGAGGAAGAGGACTTGGGGTCGAGGACCTTTGAGAGCCGATGTGGCGGTGTGCAGCGTGAGGCACCCGTCTCCGTCAAGGATCGGCTGCTGCAAAGATACTTCGCAGCACCACTCTTCTCGAGCAACGGCTAAAACGGGCATGCAAAATCCAAGGACTGACGAGAATGAACACGCAGGACCTGCTGCAGAAGGCTCGGCACAGCTCTCTGAGTGTCGAGTCAGAGTCTCTGCAGCCAAAGCATTGAAACTATCCGCGCGCGTGCGAGATACGCCGAAACATTAGCTCATTCTCAGTGCCTTGGCTGCCCAAGACACCCAGAGGGGGAAGATTGTCCTTTGCCTCAAGCCTGCGAACAGTGAGCGTGTTCTCTGAGTATTGAACTGATACCGGTACCGGGCTTGTGACTGAGGGCTGCGAAAAGCATCAGCTTTGTCAGCTTCGAAATGCTCCAAGAAAAGAACCCCAGGAGTATACATTAGCTAAGGTCATCGACAGCGAAGATCTGTCGTGGGACTGGGAGGACATCTCCACCGAGCCCGACATAGCCTTTGCAGTCATGGAGCTCAAAGAGCTGCCTGAACCAAAGCAGAGCGCTGGTTACTACTACTGCTACTGCTACTGCTACTACTACTGCTACTGCTACTGCTACTGCTACTGCTACTGCTGCTGCTACTGCTACTGCTACTGCTACTGCTACTGCTGCTACTGCTACTGCTACTGCTACTACTGCTACTGCTACTGCTACTGCTACTGCTACTGCTACTGCTACTGCTACTGCTACTGCTACTGCTACTGCTACTGCTACTGCTACTGCTACTGTTGCTACTGCTGCTGCTACTACTACTACTACCACTACTACTACTTCTACTACTACTACTACTGCTACTGCTACTGCTACTGCTAATACTGCTACTCTACTACTACTCCTGCTGCTGCTACTACTACTACTACTACTACTACTACTAGTACTGCTACTGCTACTATTTATAATTAAAGGACCGGATAACCCCACATGTGAAGCTTGTCTATTGGTAGACAATCTAAAGACGCAAAAGAGTGAATGAATATGGGAGTAAATGGATGAGTGATTGAAAGAATAAGTGGGTGCTGTTGTGACCACGTGTGTGTGTGTGTATGTGTAGATGCGACAGAGCTGAGATCGGTTCTAGTGACCGCCGCTGGCACGTCGTTCTGCGCTGCACTTCCGGAGTGTGTGTGTGTGTGTGTGCATGTGTGTGTGTGTGTGTGCGTGTGTGTGCGTGTGTGTGTGTACGTGTGCGGCAGAGCTGAGGCTGCTTCTGTGATGGGCAACTGCACGCAACTCGGCTCTGCAGCACTTCAGAGGTGTATGTTTGCGTGTGTGTTTGTGTGTGTGTGTGTCTGTGTGTGTATGTGTGGTTACGTGTGTGTTTGTGTGTCGTTGCCTGCCTGTGGTCACACACACACACATGGCTTCCGCGCGACCCATGCCTGAACGTGCAGTCAATCCCTGTGCACAGTCGCACACACACATAAACACACACACACACATAAACACACACACACACACATAAACACACACACACATACGTACACACACACACACAGACACACACACACACACAGACATACACACACACACACAGAGTCACGCACATGCACACAGCACCGGCAAGTCACGGCACCAGGCTTTCGGCCGGCTTAATGCATGCCATTCGATTTCCTGCACATCCCTGTCCTTGTGTGTGTGTGTGTGTGCATGTGTGTGTGTGTGTGTGTGCTTGACAGAGCTGAGGCTCTGAGCGCCACAGCGGATGGTGCGGGCCCAAGTACGGATTGATTGCATGTGTGTGTGTGTGTGTGTCTGTGCATGTGTCTGTGTGTGTATGAATGTATATGTGTGTGTGTGTGACAGAGCTGAGGCTGCTTCTGCGATAGCGATGGCATGTCGTCGTAGGCTCCGAAGCACTTATGTCGCGATTAGTTCCGTGTGTGTATGTCTATGTGTGTGTGTGTGTGTGCATGTATGCGTGTGCGTTGGTGTGTGTCTGTGTGTGTGTGTGTGGGTGTGTGTATGTGTGTGTGTGTGTGTGTGGACGAGTCTCGCCCCCAGCGCACGCGCGGCCTTGGCCAGAGCAGGCCGGGAGGGTCTTTAGTCGCGGAAGAGTCTCGCCCCCAGGGCGCGCCCGGCCTTGCCCATAGCAGGCCCGGGAGGGTCTTTAGTCGCGGAAGAGTCTCGCCCCCAGGGCGCGCGGCCTTGCCCAGAGCAGGCCCGGGAGGGTCTTTAGTCGCGGAAGAGTCTCGCCCCCAGCGCGCGCGCGGCCTGCCAGAGCAGGCCGGGAGGGTCTTTAGTCGCGGAAGAGTCTCGCCCCCAGGGCGCGCGCGGCCTTGGCCAGAGCAGGCCCGGGAGGGTCTTTAGTCGCGGAAGAGTCTCGCCCCCAAAACGCGCGCGGCCTTGCCCAGAGCAGGCCGGGATGGTCTGTAAAGTCGCGGAAGAGTCTCGCCCCCAGGGCACGCGCGGCCTTGGCCAGAGCAGGCCGGCCCCAGCGCGCGCGCGGCCTTGGCCAGAGCAAGCCGGGAGGGTCTTTAGTCGCGGAAGAGTCTCGCCCCCAAGCGCGGCCGCGCGCCCAGAGAGCAGGCCCGGGAGGGTCTTTAGTCGCGGAAAGTCTCACCCTCAGGGCGCGCGCGGCCTTGCCCAGCAGAGTCGCGGAAGAGTCTTGCTTCTTTAGTCGCGGAAGAGTCTCGCCCCCAGCGCGCGCGCGGCCTTGGCCAGAGCAGGCCGGGAGGGTCTTTAGTCGCGGAAGAGTCTCGCCCCCAGGGCGCGCGCGGCCTTGGCCAGAGCAGGCCCGGGAGGGTCTTTAGTCGCGGAAGAGTCTCGCCCCCAGGGCGCGCGCTTGGCCAGAGCAGGCCCGGGAGGGTCTTTAGTCGCGGAAGAGTCTCGCCCCCAGGGCGCGCGCGGCCTTGGCCAGAGCAGGCCCGGGAGGGTCTTTAGTCGCGGAAGAGTCTCGCCCCCAGGGCGCGCGCGGCCTTGGCCAGAGCAGGCCGGGAGGGTCTTTAGTCGCGGAAGAGTCTCGCCCCCAAGGCGCGCGCGGCCTCTGCCAGAGCAGGCCCGGGAGAGTTTTTAGTCGCGGAAGAGTCTCGCCCCCAAAGCGCGCGTGGCCTTGGCCAGAGCAGGCCGGGAGGGTCTTTAGTCGCGGAAGAGTCTCGCCCCCAGGGCGCGCGCGGCCTTGGCCAGAGCAGGCCGGGGAGGGTCTTTAGTCGCGGAAGAGTCTCGCCCCCAGCGCGCGCGCGGCCTTGGCCAGAGCAGGCCGGGGTCTTGCATGTGCATGTGTGTGTACATGTGTGTGTGTCTGTGTCTGTACATGAAGTCAGGAGAATATGTATCTGTGTCTGTGTCTGCATCATGAGGAGGAGGCGGAGGAGGAGGATGAGGAGGCGGAGGAGAAGGAGGAGGAGGAGGAGGAGGAGGAGGAGAAGGCGGGACAGCCCCAAAAAGTAAGAACCCCACACACTGATGTGGAGAATAATAACCATAATAATACGACGAAGATGACGACGACGACGACGACGACGACGACGACTACTACTACTACTACTACTACTACTACTACTTGTACTTCTGCTTCTACTTCTACTTCTACTACTACTACTACTACTACGACGACGACGACTACTACTACTACTACTACTGCTGCTACTACGCCTACTGCTGCTGCTACTACTACTTCTGCTGCTACTACTACTACTACTACTACTACGACGATGAATACTACGAGTACTACGAGTACGACTAGAACCGCTAGCGCTACTGCTAGTACTGCTCCTGCTCCTACTCCTACTCCTGACGGCAACAACTGCTACGACTACAACTACGGCTGCGACGACGACGACTACCGCGGCATGTTACTGAATGTTGTTGGTGATGACCGGAGCGGCTTGTGGGTTGGCCCTTTGGGATCAGGTTTGTCGCTGAATGGCAAGAAGCAGCTACCGACAAATTCTGGCAGCGAAAGTCTCACAAGGTCCCAGCTGCACGACTGCACACATTCAAGATCAGTGGTGGATACGACCGGAGGTGGTGCTCGCTGTCGTTTGCTGTGCTAGAGATGATGGCTCCCTCGTTGCGATGCGTGGCATGAACACGGAGGCCGGCGTCGGTTCAACTGGGGATTGCAGAGAGATGCTGCTTGAGCAAGTCTCCAGGTCAGCTTGCCCTCCGGCTCGCTCTGCGCAGAGCGAGCAGGCATTGCTCGAGCCGCGACGGAGTTTTTTCATGCCAACACGATCAAGGCATCGAGTTGTGCAGACGTAGAACGGGCATGACCAGCGTCTTGAGTCAGTGAAGTGAAGTAAGTTCTGAGACAGGTCATCGCAGTCATTGATCCGTCGGGTGACATCGCTCCACTTTGGCCTTGCGAGGATTGACCACGAATCGCTGCAGTCAGCATCAATTCGCACCGCTCCATGCCGGAGGTGTGCCAAAGTTGGCTTTCCAAGCTCCGTGATCAAAGTCCGAGGACCTCGGATTTCGTTCTTTTGCTGCGCTTGAAGTCAGCAGCTTATGGGTGCAGGATCACCGTGGTGGCTTTCCCCGCTAAGGAGAACGACTTCGAGCGCGTGGTTGTGCGCCGCAATGGCAAGGACGTACGGCCGCCCACGTCTGTCAGTGCGTGCCCGAAGCTGCAGCAATGTCGATCAACACCTTTCATGTGTTCCTTTAGTCCCATTGGTGTGCAGCAGTTCTCTGATTTCGGACCAAGGCGCAGTAGTCTGAAGCAGGTGGTCGAGATTGCTAGATGATCATAGTCATAGCATGTCACAGCCATTGTGACTGAACAGAGGTGAATGCCAATGTTGCATTGTGCCTGCGAGGTTGCTTTGTATGTCTCAGGAACGGAAGAGCAGTTCCACAGCAGTGTGCCCGGTAAACTGGAACATTTGAACAACCATGTTTTGACGATCTCCACAAAGCTTTGGGGGTCTGAGGCTATACGGTGACGCCGGCATTTAAAATCCAGGGTCGACCGCGAAAGGGGAGGGGCTTTTGGGCCGCGTGGTGCCGGCCTCCGTTTCTTAGATTCTTGGATCCAAGCGACTCCCTGCGCGCTTCGCCCTGCTGCTCGAGCTGCGGGTTTGGGCGAAGGGGCCTTCGGCTGGGCCGGAAGTGCCACAAGCCGCTCGGGCGGCAATAGCAGGTCTCAATTCCTCCCTGGCGAGGTGGTGTCGGTCGTGTCTGTGAGGCTACACCTACTGTCGGCATTTTTCAAAGACGATCCTTCCGCCGCTGCAGCGACGCCCTAAGGCCCATGGCTCCGCTGCCCGGGGTGCACCCAGGCCAGTCATGCCGAGGGCCATCCAATAAACCCCTATCCCCTCAACCCCCCAACCCCTGAACCCTAAACCCCTAAACCCCTAAACCATAAACTTTGCCCAGCAGGCTTCGAGGACGTCAGCCTTCGTGAAGCCTTGAACCCTGAAAGCCCTTCGAAGACCGCAACCCTATCCTTGAAAGCCCAGTGAAGGACCAAGCCTCGAAACTAAACCCCCTAGACTTAGACTACTCCTGGACTTGAAAAATGAAGCCGGGTGTCTGTTTTTCAGCGTATGTAGTTTTAGGCACATGGCATCTTGCCTGTTCTTCTGGTCCGTGGCTCTCCTCAACCGGTCTTCTTCGCAAGATGCTCGGGCTCAAAATTGGCCCAGCGTGAACCAAGGGGTACGTTTCGACGCCATGGCGGATGAACCGGAAGATCCCCATGTGAACCGAGATGAGCTGTTCCATATTGTGAGAGATGGTGACTATGTTGATACCAAGAAGGCTCTAGCAAAGGCAGATATGGCTTGGCGGCATACAGCTCTGCAGCAGCACTTCTTGTTCTTTACTGCGGCACGGCGCCGCCGGGGATCCGAATTATTAGCAAGGCAGTGCATCGAAATGGGCGTCAATCTAGAGGAAGTTGATGTACATGGGCAGACGCCTCTGTTTTGGGCTGCAGCGCGCAGCAATTTGGTCATAGTGAAATTCCTGCTTAATCTGGGGTTTGAAGTGAACTTTCGCGACAAGGCCAGGAAGACTGCTCTCTTCTTTGCCATCGAGAAGAATCATATGGACGTGGTCGACTACCTGATCGAACGTTCTGCCTCTATATGGGTTCGGGCCTCCGACGGCAAGACACCACAGTTGATGCTAAAGGCATTGAATCACAAGGCCCCCAGCAGGAAAAGAGAGTTGGTGTCGCCAACACCGACTTTCGCGTGTCCGGGCGCGGCAACACGGAGCCGTTTTGCCCAGTGGGAATGGGCCGGGGCCCAGGAGGAGACTGAGCCACTGTTTGAAAAAAAGGAGGACAACCACAGCAACGACAACAAACAAAAGCAAGCAACACGACGACACCATCATCACCACCACTACTAACGACAGCAACAGCAACAGAAGCAGCAACGCGAACAATGACAAGAACAACGACGATAACAAGAACAATAACAGTAATAGCAACAGCAACAACAACATCAACAGCAACAGCAACAGCATCAGCAACAGCCATAGCAACAGCAACAGCAACATCACCAACACCACTAACAACACCAACATCACCACCACCACCACCACCACCACCACCACCACCACCACCACCACCACCACCACCACCACCACCACCACCACCACCACCACCACCACCACCACCACCACCACTAGCAACAACACCACAACCACCACCAACAACAACAAGAACTTGGGGTGTTTGTGTGTGCGAATGTTTTTGGAAATCTGCTTCTAACTGGACAACTAAGGTACTACGTGTGTGCATCAGTGACAGGGTGTTCGAAGCGCCTCCGCCGCTCGGAACGGGAGTTTGTTGGAGATCATGCGCATCATCATCTCCATCAACAGGAGACCTGGTACAGCAGCTTGACTCCTGAGAATTCTGCCGCGCTCGTGAACGTGAATATGGGCGACGAGAAAGCACATGAGAAGATTATTGACGAGTTGGCGCAGGGATCACGGCCTCGTGCCTTCACGCTGGCAGCAGTGTCGCAACAGACTCGCACACTCGCTGGTTACGTGTATGCATCTTTCACGGACGGGACGTTGAAGATCGGCCAAGTGAAGGTGGACCGGCCCCATCAAGAACGGGGACTAGGCGGTCTGCTACTCAAAGCGGCCGAGAAACGAGCAGAGAACTTGGGAGCATCCATCTCGAAAATGAAACTCACGGTCCTCGAAACCAACAAAGGGGCTCAAAGATGCTATGCAAAGTCGGGGTTCAAGGTTACCACGACATACTCGTCAAGTTTTCCACCATGCGCTTGCGAAGCTAAGCGAATCCCTTGCCACCATGAGAAGATCCGGTGGTACAACATGGAGAAAGCTTTGCCTGACAACACGGCCTGAAAAACAGGCTGCTTCCCGGTGAGGGTTGAGGGCTAGGCGCTCCCGGGATTCACGTGTGGCGGCTTAGAGTTTAGGCCTCGAGTTCAAGTGTTTTTCAGATGTCATTTGTTGGTTTGGGGGTGCAGGTGTTGTTTTGCAATCTTTTGTTTAACTGTTTTAATGGATTGCGAGTGTGTAAGTGCCTCAGGGCGGAAGGTGGTTCTTTCGGTGTGATGGCTTCGTGGTAAATCCCTGAACCGATATTGAAAAATATCTTCCAAGCTCCACACCACAAAGGAGTATGAACATGTGTACCTTAACATGCTTCCAAGTCCCATACTCGCAAGCTTCCTGCCTAGGCTTCCGCATTTGATCAATTTTTTTCCAGGCAGTTTCTGCCAAGCTTTTGGGTCTGGAACACGTGATGTCGTGATGATTTTCGGTAGTTGAACCTACCAGCGTCATTGCATGCAATTGTTGGACGAACGGTTGCCGCGAGCTGGTCCAGTGGCTAGGCGCCCTGCCGCGCAGCGAAGGTGCAAACCTAAGGGGCCATGCCAAGACAGAAGTCCGATGCACGAGATTCACCATGTGTATGAGTGGATGAGCGGCGTCGAGACTGATGCGAGGAGTGGATCCCGTGCTGTCAGCATTGCAGCGATATCGTGAAGCAGCTGGGAGCACCTTCCATCCGCTCAGTGAGGCTCGTGGCTCTCGCATTGATCGCATTTGAGCATCTACTTACTACTTGTTTCTGAGTTTCTGACGTGAGGTGGAGGAGCCAGACGACCAGGCCGGGCCCCAGGGCCCAGGAATGCGAAAGCCGAAAGCAAACGGAGCTGTCAGGCGCCCTTCGAGGACCGCACCGCACAGAGGCGGCCTTGGGGCCTTGGGTTTTGACGTGTTGCAACCGGGCATGAAGCATCAGACTCGGCTTCTGGCCCTGTTGGGGTGTGTACGAGTCCGTTACATGTTATATGGGCCATATGGGCTTTGTGGTAAGGGGCATCAGCACTGCTGCAGGTTTGCTGCGCGCTCCAGCCCGTCTGCAAGCTCCAGCAGCAGTCCGAAGGCAGTCGGTGTTGTGCAGATAGCATCAACCTCGACTCGTTGATGTGTTGTGCCCAGCTTGCGGACTTGCGAGTGGCACTAAGTACGTGGGCCTTGGGCCTTAATTGCATTTGCAAGTACTAACAAGGGCTCATGCCACTGAAATGGTGGAAGTTCGCACCGATGTGCTTGAGAACAGGGCCATCGTCCGCCTGTGCGCCCGTCCGAGTTCCATGGTCTGGAGGACGCGCCGCGAGGGGCTAATGGCAATGGTTAACCTGTGTGATGCTAGAAATTGTTTGAAGATGCTCGCTATACGAGCAAACGGGGTGCTGGGCTGCAGAATCTGTAGGAGGATGTCCGCAATGCAGCCGCAGCCTTAGTGGACAAGAGCCTGTAGACCCTGTGTTGCAGAGCGTGCCACCGCGTGTGGATTCGTTGAGTCCGTGCTGCACTGGCAGGTCTGTGGTTTCGGAGCCTACGGAGACTTGCGCGACTTCTTGCCAACATGGTTGAGCTGGACCGGCTCTGAGCCTGTGAGCACGTTCCCGAAGTCTCCTTGGTCCTTGGCGCAGGATTAGCCCCTGGTTGGAGCCCGCCGCGCAGGGACCCAAGGAGCGTGGACTCCGAAGCGAGAGCCGAGCGAGCCGAGCGAGCCGAGGCCCGATCTTTGTGGTCACCTTCCGAGCGGGCGGGGGCCTGGGTGCCCTCGGAAGCCAACGAAAGAGCTCGGCCGAGCTCAGAGCGGAGGCAGTTTGCCAGTGCCAGCGGCGCGAGCGGTGGAAGCATGCGGCGACCTCGAGCGAAGTGCTGTCGACTTGAGTGATTAGGCTGGATCCCACGAGTGTTCTCAGGACATTTGCCGAAAGTCCCAGATGCGCGAGCGAGGCTGGCTTCACGGTGCTTCGCGCATCGAGTTCACCCGCTTCCCCCCTACCTTTACCCCAGCTCAAAGAGCTCACTGCGTTTTGCTGCGTTCCCCTTGCCCGCGGTGGCAGGCAGAAGACAGCAGCACACCAGTGCTTGTTCCAGCTTCCTTCTCATCAGGCAGGTGCCACAGTCTTGAAGGAATCGGCATGTCAGGTCTCCACCTATGCGCTGCTCACGAATCCCCCAAAGTGGTTGGCACGTGAGAGAGCGTCGCGTTGAGCATGTTCAGGTGTCAAGCAAGTGGGACTCCCCTCGCCACCAGTTTCACAGGCATCGTGCTCAGGTTTCGAGAATCCAGCCTCTCAGTAATGCCATGAGAGCTTGAATTCGATGCTACATTGAACGAGCATGCCAGGCACAGACTTGAGAAACTACAGTCTAAAGTGTTTGTTTCCTTCACTTTTCGCGGGCTTTCACCCCCTTGCGCGAGGCCAAAGATGGGTTGAGTCGGCCACGTGTTCGCCGGGCCTTGGAGGCCATAGCCTTTCCCTGTGGTCTGAGAGAGGAGGAAGTTTCTTGAGACATGTTGGCTAAGTCGTAGAGTTGTCAAATGTAGGCACGGCAGGCAAGTGGTTCTTGGTGTCTCGTTTCTGGTCCTTGATCTTTCCTGGTGCCCAGGCCATTCGCGAGCTTCCCGATGGCTTGCGCTGGTCGCTCAGAAACTTTCGTCTGATCGCTTGGCATTAAAACTTGCTAGTGCCTGCAATCTGCAATAAAACGAGGATCGAGTACCTTCGACGACCTGGTGATTCCAGAGGAAGTAGAGCAAGTTGTGCCTTAGATGCCTATCTGCGCATTCTTCTTCACATTTGTTTACAGCAGCTCGGTATCCAATCCCCAGGTGCTTGGGCCCCTGCCGGACTGTGCGGAAGAGGGGAGCGATGCCAAGTTCCCTTGCAATCCTTCTAGCAGCCCCTGCCCCCGGAGGTCCTTGCTTCCTGTTTTGCCGAGGCTAGAGATCGGTGGCGTCTTCTCAGACTATTCGGAGGGCTGGGGCTTGGGCAAAGTCTGCCCAACCCTCAGAATCATTAGCGCAGGATGCTGCATCTCGTACCCTAGCCCGTGTGAGGCCAGGGGCTTGTGGGAGACAAGACCGCCGCTCTCGTGGTCCAGTTGCGCCGAGATCTTAGAGATGCCCAGTGAGTGTCTTTCGCTGATTCACACCACCCCGGCACCCCGGCTCCACAGCCCCTGCTCAATGCCCAGGCCTTCCAAAGCCTTTGAACAACGGGCAGATGCGGCGGCTAGGTGCAGCTAGACACAGTGGATTAGTGTTTTGGTAAATTGCTGTTTTAATGCCCTTTCCAGAACGTGTTTTGCAGTTCTTGGAAGGTATTGGGAATGTCTTGAGCAAGGAACTGTAAAGGTCATGCGGGATCTGCTCGTGTCTGTGAGCAAGAGGAGCAGCAACACGCGTCGCATGTCCGTGGCCGCAGCATGCACCAATCCCTAGCAGGAGGAGGAGTGCAGGTGCTGCTAGCTGCTGCTAGGTGTTCCGTAATCTATCGTGATCTAACCTACTATAATTTATAATGTAACATATGATAATATATTATATCATACTATACCATAACTTACTAAGATATACGATAAGTATCTCACATAATTGCTAGTGCTGCCGCGAGGCGCCGCGCTGCGGCGAGGGGCCCTCGAGGCTCGCTCGGCCTTGGCCTCGGATCCGCCCCGCCAGCTCTGGGGGGCACTCTTTCAGGGAGAGAGAGAGAGAGAGAGAGAGAGAGAGAGAGTGGAAGCAAGCAAGGGAGACTGCAGTAGTAGGTTCAAGAGAGAGAGTAGTGCTTGAAGTAGGCTCATGTAGGCTCTTGGATTCATAGATTGGCAGGACTTGAGCCGACCCGTCGGAGCGGTCGCCCCCAGCACCTCGGCCGATGCATCCGGGATTATGCCGTTCTGGATTCTCCTCTCGTACTCTTACCGGGGCAAAAGCCATCAGTCGGCAAGAACGGAGAAACACAGGGCTTTGCTACGAGGAGGCGTTTTGCTATGTGCCAAGAAATCGCAGGCGATGGTTCTCCAGGGGCCGGGAGCCCGGAGCTTCCAGCATCGTAACATCTAACATTCTGCACTTGTCGGGTTTGGAAATGCCTTAATATTAACTCGCAGGAGTGTCTCTCTGACTCTTCCTGTGGTGTATTGACGTCCAGGGCCACGCCTGCAGACCTTCGAAAAAGAAGTAGCAGGCCTTTTTTTTTTCTCGAAAGAGGTTTGGATCGCTTGGGAGCGGCCTGGCGGTCTCCAGCTCGGCGTGTGCAGTGTGAATCGTCTTGCGGAGATTTCAGGCTGTGCTTTGTCGCATCGGCTAGGAAGCTGCAGCACCCTCTCGCCCTTGCCCATCGAGCTGCAGGAATCAGCTCCAGGTGCGAACTTTCTTTGCTCTCCGCAGGTCCTCAATCAGTAATCTTTTGCGCTCGTCAGGCCTTTCTTGGCGGCTCTCGGTGGCACGACAGCTCTGCCTCGCAGTGGACGCTCTGCATAGGTTTGGGGCAGGGCTTTCGCCCATCCGCCGGAGCTGCCAAGAAGACCGCAGGTCTGGAAAAGCGCATGGAAGTCTGTCTCCGCGCAATGTGCTGGCGTGCTCCTCGGTCTGTTCAGGCCCTTTGACGGAGCCAAGTCTGTGAGTCAGGTCGCCACCACAGGTGACGTGACGATCCTGGAAGCAGGGCTCGTGGACGCGCTCCTGGAGGTTCGGCGTTGTGCTCGCTGCAAGCCTCTTCGCTGCTTCGCTTTTGGTGCCGGTGGAGGTGGATGCCCTGCGCGAGCACGATCTTCTTGGTGCACTAGGCTTGCAGTTCGCCCGCTATGTGGCCCCAGAGGCTGGGAGTGGGGACAGCGCCTGGTGGTTGTTCATTGGCCGAAAGAGCCATCAGCTTGACAGGGAACTCACTCGAGACCATACGAGTTTAGCTTTCATGTTCGGTTGCCTTTTGAGTTTGCATTCAAACCGTGCATGCTTCGTTCGATTCGAGGACATGGACTCCGCATGTCCCTGTCAAGCATCATTGTAACGAAGCCTGTCGAACTGCAGGGGTGGCACGTCCCCCGCAGCGGCGGCACAGCAGCCGACATCTTTGCTCTAGGCCTTGTCCTACTCGAGGCCGGACTTCATGAGGCCGAAACTGGTGAAACCCCTGATTTAGGAGAAACATAGTTGACAGAATGCTGATCACCTAACCTCTTAGGCAAAGATGTTTGGGCTCAAAACATTTCGCAGCTATGAGCCAACACATTGTCACCGTGGCAGATGGCCACGAAGACCTTGAGCGAGACGCGCTCTTCGTAACTGTGAGAGATGGAGAGCTGGCTGACAAACAAGCTTTGACGGAAGCCGACATGTCTTGGCTGCACAGCAAAACATGCTGTACTTTGCAGCTCCACGTCGGCAAGGGTGTCTGTGAGTTTCTGCACAGACGATGCATCCGTTTGGGGGTTGACCTCGAGCAGGTTGACTCTTACCGTCAGACCCCATCGTTCTGGGTTGCGGCACGAGGAAACCTCGTGATGGTGAAGTTCCCTGTAAGCTTCGGTTTTCAGGTGCGTTTCAGAAACAACCGCAATAAGACCGCCTTATTCTTTGCGGTCACTTGCAAGCACTGGGCGGTCGTGATCTTCCTGAACTTTCTCATTGAGTGCGGGGCCTCGTTGGACGGGAGGTCCATCAGCGGGCAATACGCGATCCATGCTGTGTGCTAACGACCAGGAGACACCGGACAGGAAACGCAAAATGCATTCGCCAACACCGGACAGCACATGTCCGGGAATGGGGGAAGGAGGCGAGCGAACCTTTGACTGAAAGAACACATGAGAACATCCTCGTGGAAAACGCAGAGTATCTCAGCATTTGAGGTAGTGTTGAACCAATGACTCTTCTGAGTATGTATGTAGGCTTCTGGGTATGTAGGTAGTTGGATAAAGCATAGGTGGGTGATAACCGCTGCTTGAATCTAACGAACGTTTAGCCTGTTTGGGACCCAGCTTTCCGGACAGCGAAGGTGAGATGTATGCGAGTCGGTGACTGGCTGTTCAAAGAGTCGGAAGCGCTTGGAACGGGGGTTCTGCTCTGACCATGCGCACCCTCATCGAAATCATCATTGGTGCAACGGTGTGGAACCAGAGCACCTTGCTAGCCTGCTCGAAGTGCCAAATGCATTCGAAGATAATGGTAAGAAGATGGAGCATCACATGAAATTCACTGACGAATTGGTGACTGCAGCACGCCCTTCCGCCTTCACCCTACCAGCGGTCTCGTGAGAAATTCGAGCACTGGCTGGCTACATCCATGCAGCATTCGAATTCAAAAACAGCACGCTCAACTTGGCGGTCTGTTGGTTCAGGCTGCGGAGACGCATGCACGCAAGCATCATTCACCATGATGAAACTAAGCATCCTGGACCGCAGTGAGCCTGCCAAAAGATTTTATGCCAAAGCAGGCTTCGCGGCACATATTCGTCCCAGTCACTGTTTCCCCATCATCAGAAGATCAATTGGTTGCAGATGGAGACATGTATAGGCTGAAGGAAGGTTTCAAACTTTCACCCTGCCACGGCTGGCTTTGGAAAGCAGGCTTAGTGAATATTCTGGTCTCAGAGGATTCGAGAGTATCCACAATCGTGGTAAACAAAGGTGCAGACATGTTTCGGCATCAGTGTTTAGGATAATCGGGCAGTGGTGGTTTCTTTCAATCGCCATCGTTGTCAGACTAATGGGGGCATTGCTCCCACGCCCCACGTGACGACATGCCCATTCGAAAGCACTGCAATGAAGGCATACGAAGTGCGTGCAATCCGTTGCACATGATGGAGTTGTTGTCGCCTGCGAGGTCTTCGAGTGCTGTGGACAGCCCAATCCAGAGTGCAAGAGCTTGCAGCAGCTGAGTGCGCGGGACCCGGCTTGTGAAGAAGGAGCGGGAGAGGCCCGATTCGCAACTCCAACTCTGATCCTTCCTCCCTTAATGCTGTCGCGGCCACAGCAAAGCCACTTTAAGCGTATTGAGGGGATCTGTTTTGACCCGATCTGGTGAGCCGGCACTTTTTCAAGTTGTCCTGATGGTAAGGGATGGGTGCCTGTCAACCTATGTAAGCTGGAAGTTCATTTCTGGCGTTTAAGACCGACTCTGACACTGTGCGGTTGCTTTGGGTTTTGTTTTACGTGTTGGTCCAGCAGAGCAGCGTCTGCATCAGGTTGCTTAGCATACCGCAGCTATAAACATGATCTGAAGGCAAAGATGCTGCCCAAACGAGGCCATTGGCAGCCGCAGGCTCTGCTAGCTCCGTCTGCACGTCGTGCGTGTGTGTGTGTGTGTGTGTGATCTCCTGTGCAGGGTCCGGCACATGTGCATGCTGTGCATGTGTGCACGTTGCGAAGTGGAGGTTGCCAGCTGTTTTGGACAGAAGTGTGAAAGACGCAGAAGACTTCAAGAGGTGTTATGTCGGTTTCGCGTATAGCTCTGTGGGTATCTCCGGAAACTGCTGCAGCCGAATGCAGCTCTTGAACTTACAGGCAATCACAGTCTCTCTTCTGAGCAGGTTAAAGCCAGTACCTTCTACGATGAGCTTCCGCAGATAGCCAGGAACACAATCGAGTTGTGCGCGGCTCTCAGAGAAACTAATAAGAATCTCAGAATCGTTCAGTCCTTCTAAAGCATAGAATCTAGAAGCATTTTGCGTCTACCGCATTGTCCCTGCTCTGGAAAGGTTTCCATGCCGACCCTGGCAAGCGTCCCTCTGCACAGGCTGCACTCTCAGTTCTTACAGGATGCCCATGCCTGCTACATAGTATCTTGAGACTGCAAATATTCGATGGTACGAAAGCTCTCCTAAGTCTGACGTGCGAAGAGAAGTTGAGGAATCCCGGATCGCTATCCCAGTCTTTAAACTGTCCTTTCCCAAGTCCCTTTCTGCAGCCCCAGCAACCTCAAAATCTGCGGCTCCTCCATTCGAAGACTCAGACTTTCACTCGAAGTCCTTCAGTGCTGAGGGGTCCCAGATGAGAAGAAAGCTCGGCCTCTGCCCAGGAGCTGCTCTTCGGCCTCGCCGCGCCTCCGGAAGTGTCGGAGGCCGTTGGGCCGTTTGCTCTTTCTTTCGCCCCAAAATTTGCTCCAGCGCCGAACTTGCGGCACTTGAGTTAAAGAGAAGTTTGCAAGCTGAGCCCAGGTAGAGCAGCTTCAAGCCATCACCTTCGCGCCCCAAGCCCAGTCCAGCAAATCACGCTTAAAGATATTGCAGCTTCCCTACTCGCAAGGGAGTTCAAGAACTTGCTGTACGGCTCTGACGAGTCTGATGGGCTCAAGTCGGGATCCACTGTGCCAGCCCTGGTTCGACCGGCTCGGCGGGACCTGCGTGCGAGAAGAGACCGTGGACGGTTGTCAGCTGAGGCGATTTCAGGATCAAGTGGGAAGCACGGATCCTGGTGGAAAAGTCGGGGAGAGACTTACCATAGCCAATCATGGTCACCGCAGTGAGTCTGCAGCGGCTTGGGAAAGCAGCTGCGAAGTACATGCAGACGTATCAGATATTCTGCGAACATTCAGGTCTCAGCAGGACTTGGATGCAGACTTGAACGCCGAAGTTGCCGAGGTCAGCATGGCATGAATCAGAGCGTCGTCAAAGGTAGCCTCGCCCTGAGGAGCAAAGCGCGAAACCTTTGGCAAAGCCGCCAAGGCACATGCCAGCTACCAAGCTCTCTGCAAATCTGGAGTAATTGGATATTTGGATCGATCTGCTTAGTACGGTCAAACAAAAGCATAGTATGCTGTATGACCGACGCCAGATCGCGACACGAGGTCCTGGCCCTCTGGGCCACGTCCGGAACTCCGGGCGAGCCCAGCCAGACGTCCAGGGGACCAGGATGTCCCCGAAGAGAACGGGATGTGTCCCCCCTCGGAGAACGGCTGTGCCAAGCGCCCCAGAGCCTTCAGCGCGGATGATGCCGAAGGGCTTCTTGAACCCCCGCTGCCGCTTCCTCAGATGAGTGGAGAGCGACGAGTGTGTGTGTCACGGGCCACGGGACTTCCCACGTCCGAGGCCTCCGCCTCCACCGCAGCTCGCGGCGAGGTGCCAGGTCAAGGCGAGCTCCCGAGCTCCCCGTGCCCTCGAGGCCCTCGCCTCGTGTTTCCCTTTCGCCTTTCGAACTCCGACCGCCGAAGTGAAAGTGCCCCAGAGGTCCGGCGGCCAGCACCGATGGAGGCTACGGTGGAAGAGCCACATCCTCGGAGAGTCAGGACGATGTACTTGTTGAGCCAGGGTTGAGGTTCGAGGCCCTGTAAGCCATGCGCCTGTCCTTCATATATAGCCTGTGGGCAAATTCGCACTTCGGAGCTGCGGCAGTTTCGGCACTTTGCCATTGTCTCATGATTCCTCGCGACTCGAGACGGAAGAAGAAAGAAGAAGTGCAGGGTGAACGCACGCCACGCAGGCCCGCCTGAATTTGAGGGCGTCAGTGGATCCCAAAACGCTCCTCTGAGGCCCGCCAGTTCTGCGCTGTCTCCGCTCTCCCCGGGCCCGCCACCACCACCACCGCCACCACGGCCACAAGTGCCGTTCAACTCCGTGGAGCCGACGATCGTCGAGGTGAGTTGAGGTCACCCTTCGAGTCGGTTGGACCTCGCCTTGGGAAGGCTGGTTTGCCAGAGAGGGCCCCTTCCCGGAAGTCCAGGCCGCCGCCAGACACACAGAGACCTTGCGTCACTTCAGTGCGCGGCGGCTGGTCCATGCGGTGAATGAGGTCCCCTCCTCGCCAAATCGACAGGCAAGAGGAAGCCAAACAGGCAGGCAGGGCTCCAGAGGCCGGAGGTCGAAACAAAAGCCCTTTCCGATGCATCGCGCTCTTTGCTACTCGTCCTTGCCCTGGCTCCAACTGCAGCCGTTTAAAGGGGCGCCGACTTCAGCTGCGAAGTAGCAGGTCGGCCAGTGAGGAACGCAGGCACAAAGTTGCCCCTTTTCGTCGTCTCCTCGCCCTGGCGGCCCTGGCCTGGGAATGTCGCAGAAGCATTCCATCTACTACTGGGTCCAGGTGAGTGCGGGCTCGGTGCTCGGTCTCGGTGTCTGGACTGAAGAGTAGGCGACCGCTGAAGCCAAGGCCAGGAAATTGATCACCTGGATCCCCAAACAGTTGCATTTCGATGTGGCGTTCCGGCAGCTCGGCCCACACTAGTGACTAGTGGGCCTGGTCAGTGTCATGAGCTGGTCTGGGGTTTTGGAATGCGACCGTGCAAGAAGAACAGCAGAGGTAAGGGAGCTCTTCAGCTATTGGGAGAAGGAGGTGAACTGCGATATTGTGTGGACCTCGGAAGTGAACAGAGGCACGTCTGCTCTGGGCGCTTGTTGAAGCCGTGCCTGCTCGGACAGACTTCCACTCAGGCTGTTAGGACACTTCCGCGGACATTGATGCTGATTGTCTGCTTTGCTGCCATGCTCTTGAACCATGAGGCGCGATACGTTTCCCCCGGATTCGTAGTGACCACACCTACAGATGCATGTCCTTGATGATTCCCGGACACGCCATGAACCCCGTGTATGTCGGCAGACAGTGGCAGAGACGCAGAGCGTGGAGCCACTTAGATTTTTTCAACTCAGCCAGAGCTGCTGTCTGCCTTCTCCCTGCCTCGATGTATCATCGCAGCAGCCAAGGAAGGCCATTCGCTTCGATATTGCATCTGAGCTGAACGGGTGTAATGGGGATTCAGGAGTTTGTTTGCGTGTGCATTCTGCCCCGGCGGACACCATTCTGCACATTTGGGCGTGCTTGAGTCTTGTGCACGGTCATGTGCTACGTCGTGACAGGAAGAAAATGCAAACTTCGCCTTCAATGATATTGCCACGATGGGTCACAAGAACTACAAGGATGCACACTGGTGGCACAGATTAGGGCTCTTTAGATCCTGAGAGTCAGAGCCGAAGAGAAGGCATCGCGGCTCGTAACACCTGCTCCATCCAGGTTAACAGCTTCACAGACTTCTACTCGTGGCTTCGATTGGGCCGCAAGCTCAGAGCAGCCTAAGCCCAAGCATCGGCATCCCGCAGAACATCTGAGCAGCCCAGGTTTTGCTTCCATTTACTTGCCTCAAAGCAGCTCCATCTCCGAAGGCTCCACCCTGGCTTCTGCAGCTTCGATGCAGTTAGAAGCAGGTTGCAAAAATTGATTCAGCGGCAAGCTCAGTTAGAACATGACGGCAAGTCTTTCCACTTGCGAGTTGCTCGAAAGGCACGTGTGCCGATAGAATCCTTAGAACCCACCGCATTCAGGCGGCACTGTCGCCCCGGGATATGTCGGAGATGCCTTACCTGAATTTCAACCGTGCCTTGGCTCTACGACCCGGCGATGATGGAACACATCGCAGCAAAACTGACAGTTGCGGCAGCAACACCAGGAGTAGCAGTTGTGATCTGTACTGATATTGGCTCAAACTGATTGCAAGCATGAGGATGGTAGTCGACGAAAAGCAGAAGTAAGTACCGTGAAAGTAGGACTGCTTAGCGTCGGTCGTCGTCGTCGCAGTAGCATCAGCAGTGGCAGTAGCGTCGTGGTGTTGTTGTTGTTACTGTTGTTGCTTCAAACAGTAGTAATACTAATGCTACGACTGCAACTGCTACTACTACTACTACTACTACTACTACTACTACTACTACTACTACTACTACTACTCGTAGTAGAAATCGGAGCGATTAGGAGCAGCCACAGCAGTAGCAGCAGCTGGACATTGCCATAGTGTTTGCCCTAGTCATTGTTTCAGTAAGCCGGATGGTACTCGTTATACACTTGTTTCAAGACCAGGCACAACAAGACTGAAAACAAACGAAAACTAAGGAGGGTAAGACACATGCCTTGCTCGAGGTAAGATCGGTCCGGTCAAGCTCGTAAAAGAAGTGGCGCAGGTTGGGGCTGGGGCATGCAGAGGTTTCAGCCGGGGGGAAAGGGGATTTCTTGTCGAGCGGCAAGCAGTGCAAGTCGCTTGTAAAATCCATCAGGCATGTAAAGCACCGTACACTTTTGTATCACAGGCAGGCACCTGTCCGAACACTGCATCGACAGCTCGAACGTGCTACGCGGCAGGCCTGCTGTTGGGTGACCAGGAAGCCTCTGACATCGTGTCATGCGCACATATGCGCTATTCGTACATTCCTGCTTTCACTGAAGTTCTCCCTCCATGCTGGTGTTTGGCATGTCAGATGCTTGCGGTACTGAGTGCTTCCAAACAGACATTGCTAAAGCCAACTTGCCGAAGCCACGTCTGCAAGACACGACAGGCACAGACTTCGTGATTCATCCGACAGAGTTTGACGTGGCCTTCACCAGCTTCGAAGAAGACACCAGTGCCAACGGTACCGAGTTTTGGCTGCACTTTCTGCATTCAGTTTAGGCGCTTCAACGCGCGTTGATCCTTTTTGACGGGGTTAGATTGCCTTTACTCTTTGATGGTGCCTTTCACTGCAGCAAAGTGGGAGCTACTAAGGTTTGGCTCTCGCTAGTTGAAGACGTAAATGCGCAGATCAATGCGATGGAGCAATCGGGATGGCTGAGTGCAGATACTCGCAGATGGAAGGTGCGGCCGCCTTGTCTTGACTTGTGACATGGCAGTGTCTCGTAGCCGAAGAGCTTAATGGCTCTTAGTGATAGTGGCTTAGACATGCACCTGTGCAGCTTACCTTCGTCACGTACAACGCAGACTTTGACATGCTGACAAGCACGGACATTCACTTCGTTCTCTCACGCTCTGGGCGAATCTGGAAAGAGATTTCTTTCATGAGCTTGATGCTGTCCCCGTATGGAAATCTTTGGGGCCTTGTTTGGGAGATACTGTTTTTTGGAAGCATCACCACCATTTTTATCGAAGAGCTGCTGGAGATCTTCCGGGGCCCGGGTCTCAAAGATGTGCTGCCGTGCCGGTGCTTGCCGTACGATGGACCTAACTTGATGTAAGGCATTTGCACGCGATCCTCCGATGGAAAATTCCGCTGCCGTTGCGGCTACTTCCTCATGGACTACTTCACTGTTTGGAATGTTGTGGATTGGTGTTCCATCATCGTCGCCTATACTCTACTAGGCACTGGGCATACTGGGCGCTGAGCGTCTCCGTGTTGGTGTGTGTGTGTGTGCACATGATGACTACGGAGTGAAGCGATTTGGCTCGTGTGGGACAGGCATGTGGATCAATCGGTGCCTGATGGTAGCTAGCCTTCAGAACGACCTGAACGGATTAGCAACGGCCTGCGCGGACGTTGACAACCGCGACCTCTGCAAAGACCTGACCGGTATCTCAGAGGAAGTTAAGCTGATCTCATCGAGAGGGATCTGGGGAGGGTGCCCACGTTTACCAAGAACTGGTCATGCAAGCAGCCTCTGACACGGGCGAGGTTTCATCCAGGACTGCCGGCCTGCATTTGACCACCTCTCACCGGCTTGATTTCGCTTTGGGCTTCCTATTCGTGGGCTCCCCCACCTACACACCACAGCAGCATACAGCCATCTGACAGGATCTTCATGCGGCTTCAATGCTCTCTAAGCCTCTGCCTCTTCTTTGTTTCTCTCTGTGTGCATGTTCAGAGTATGCTGGATGTACTCCCTGTCACGGGTTAGAGAGATTTTGGATCGCTCAGTTGAAGCACTCATTGTACCAAACTGCGCTTCTGCTTTCTGAGCTTTCAGCTTTCTGAAATTTTACGGGGGAGGGTGAGTTCTTCGGCCTATCATAGCTACTCGGCATGTGGTTGTCAACCGTCTCGCGGGACAAGTTTATGTCTCGGGTCTGCACAACATAGGCCCGTAGGCATAGTTTTTGCATGTTGAAGCCCTGACCAGTACCAGCCTGGCCTTGCGCTCAGTCGTGAAGAGACTGAGAACACTGCAGTGTGTTTCAGCGCCTCACAAAATCTGCTTTGGCTCAGGTCAGCAGCCCGGCCCTTGGCATCGCATGAACACCAGAGGTTGTTTCCGCCTTTGGTGCACTGCGTCTCTGGAAGTCAGACCAAGGCTTCTATCCCTTCTGCATCTTGCTGCGGCTTTTCAAGACGTTCTCACTCCAGCCGCGGCTAGCAGTAACTCCGCCGAAGATGGGCAGAGCCTCTCTGTGGTGACGTGCAAAATTCTGACCTCTGTTTCCGTTGACCGCAATCCGCGACAAAGGTTGTCACCAGAACTTTGTGGATGTCGTTTGCAGACTTGGCTGCTGAGCAACAGCTATGCCAGCTTTGGGCGTTTTGAACACTGAAGTTCAATGAAGGGGTCCTCCCCTCTCGATGCATAATGTAGGGAATCAAGCGGATCGAATGAACGAAGGAGAGTTGAGGCAGAGCTTTCAAAGCACCCCTTGATCGGGAAGTCTTGGCCGTGTAGCGTCGTAATTCACGGCCCAGGTCCACTTCGGCATCATTTTCTTTTCGGTCTTTGTCACGTACGTCTTCATGGCGATGGGTTTCTTTGGGCGAACCGTCGAAGGCGGGACTTCAACACCGGTTCTTTGGGTTGGCGTTGTTGTCCTATATCTTCTGTAGGTAGAGTATGGGCACCTCCGCCTGGTAACCGACTCCACGCAGGCTATTCGGACTTTGGAATCAGCTTCATCACACTCTTCCGGTCTCTGATGGGGGATGCAGACTTCGTCGCGATGGAAGATCAGGTCGGTCGAGCCATTGAGACTTTGCTTGAAGGAGTCACGCATGCTTCTTTGGGCGTATCATGAGTCGATCTGCGGCTTTACCACTCCACAATATCGATGTGTGGGGCTTTCGTTTCGGGCGCGTGTAGTGACTTGGGAGCTGTCTTCCTCGCGGGCTCAATTCGCTCTGG